TCTTTTTTGCCTTGTTTTTGGCTTTCCTTTTTTTTTTTTTTTAAAGATTTATTTATTTATTTGACAGAGATCCCAAATAGGCAGGCAGAGAGAGAGGAGGAAGCAGGCTCCCCGCTGAGCAGAGAGCTGGATGTGTGGGGCTCAATTCCAGGACCCTGAGATCATGACCGGAGCCGAAGGCAGAGGCTTTAACCCACTGAGTCACCCAGGCGCCCTGTTTTTGGCTTTCTAAATGAAGAGAATACTGAATTTAATCTGGGATGGAGTATTATTGAGTGCTTTAAATATATTTCTCCTCTTTCCCCCATATTGTAAAAATATTGTTGGAATGTTGAAAACTTTGGGGGTGCCTGGGTAGCTCAGTTGATAAGTGTCTGCCTTTGGCTCAGGTCATGATCCCAGGGTCCTGGGATCGAGCCCCACCTTGGGCTCCCTCCTCTGCATCAGGTGGGGTGGGGGTGGCCTGCTTCTTCCTCTCCCTCTGCCCACCATTTCCCCTGCTTGTGCTTGCTGTCAAACAAAAAAAAAATCTCTCAAAAAAAAAAAGAAATGTTGAAAAAAAATTTTTTTTAAAGATTTTATTTATTTGTCAGAGAGAGAGAGAGCACAGGCAGATGGAGTGGCAGGCAGAGGCAGAGGGAGAAGCAGGCTCCTTGCAGAGCAAGGAGCCTGATATGGGACTTGATCCCAGGACGCTGGGATCATGACCTGAGCCGAAGGCAGCCGTTTAACCAACTGAGCCACCCAGGCATCCCCAGAAATGTTGAAAAATTTTAAAGCACAGAAAAGTGAAGGAAATGTAAATTATCTGGAATAGTACCCAGAGACATACTGTTAAATTTTTGGTGGTATTAGATACTTGTGTATAGTTTTTTCATATATAATGTTGCAGAGTCTTACAGTTTAAAAGGATTAATGGTGTGCTAGGTTACTTTTTAAATTGCTTTGTTAGAGCCAGTTTAGAAAAGTTCACTGGTTCACTTCTGAGGAATGTTTAATTTGTTAGTTTTTGAAAATGCAAACTAGTATGGAAGTGAGCTTGAAATTACCTTCCGACTTCACTGCCCCTGAATTTAGACTTTCTTTTCATGACTATTAAAAAAAAAAAAAGGAACGCTTTCAGGCTTCCACAAATGAATTAATGGTCTTACTACTGTACTTCCTAATACTTCTTTTATTTTTTTTTTTAAGATTTTATTTGTTTATTTGACAGACCGTGAGAGAGGAAACACAAGCCAGGGGGAGGGAGAGAGAAGCAGGCTTCCTGGTGGGCAGGGAGCTTAGGGCCGATCTCCATTCCAGGACCTTGGGATCATGGCCTGAACTGTAGGCAGACGCTTAATGACTGAGCCATCCAGGTGCCTGCAATATGTCTTTCCTTAATGTTCCAGGACTACATTAAAAAATCTGTCTGCTTTATTGGGGCGCCTGGGTGGCTCAGTCAAATAAGCGTCTGCCTTCGGCTCAGGTCATGGTCCCAGGGTCCTGGGATCCAGTCCCATGTCAGGGTCCCTGCTCAACAGAGAGCCTGCTTCTCCCTCTCACTCTGCTGCTCTGCCTGCCTGCGCGCACGCTCGCGCTCTCTCTCTCTGTCAAATAAATAAATAAAATCTTGAAAGAAAAATCCACCTTATTAAAGTATTTGTATATGATCTCTTTTACATGTATAGTTGACTCTTTTTTTTTTTTAAGATTTTTTAAAAAATTTATTTGTCAGAGAGAGAGAGAGAGAGTGAGAGAGCAAGCACAGGCAGACAGAGTGGCAGGCAGAGGCAGAGGGAGAAGCAGGCTCCCTGCCGAGCAAGGAGCCCGATGTGGGACTCGATCCCAGGACGCTGGGATCATGACCTGAGCCGAAGGCAGCCGCTTAACCAACTGAGCCACCCAGGAGTCCCTGTATAGTTGACTCTTGATGAACAACATGGGTTTGAACTGTGTGGGTCCACTTAAATATAGATTTTTTTTTTTTTTTTCAGTGAATACCGTGAATATTTTTTCTCTTAGGATTTTCTTTCTAACAATTTCTTTCTCCTAGTTTGCTTTATTGTGGAATACAGTATATAATACAAATACAGATGACATTAAAAAATAGGTGTTAATTATCAGCAAGACTTCTGGTCAACAGTAGATCATTAGTAAAGTTTTGGCAGGGGGAGTCAAAAGGTATGCTTGGATTTCTGACTGACTCCTTGGTGGGTCTGCTCCCTCTGTTTTTCTGTGTTGTTCAAGTTTTAGGCTGTACAATTCAGTGGGTTTTTGGTTTTGTTTTTAAAATTCAGTGTTTGATAAATCTGTTCAGTTGTAGAACCACTGCAGTAGAGCAGTTCTGTTATTCCTTACATTTTCTTTGCACACACGCTCCCCTCACTTCACCTCCATACCTTGGTAATCACTTATTTGCTGTCTTTATAGTTTTCCGTTTTCTATAACTTAAAGTGAATCAGTCTTTTTGGCCTGACTTTTTTCAGTTAGCATGATTTTGCAACTCTCAGCCATGTTACTTGAATCCTTGGTTCATTTTTTGTTCTTGAGTTGTATTCCATTGTATACATGGACTTTTGGGTTGTCATCTTAACTATTTTGAATAAAGCTTCTGTGAACATTTGTGTAAAAAGTCTTTGTGAAGATGTATTTTCATTTCTTTTGAATAATGCCTATAGTGGAATTGCTGAGTCTTAGGGTGTTCTAACAGTATAGGAACTACCAAACTATTTGCCAAAGACCTTACCATTTTAATGTTTCTCTTAGTTTCCTGATATTCCCGAAAGGATGATGTTTTTTAAACATATTTCCTTGGGATTACACATAATTTAACTATTCAGCAGTGTATCATAAAGTTACCATCTGCATCATACCTTAAGGTATTGCTTATGTTTAGAGTGTTAAGTATGCTAAGGGTGCTTATTAAAATGCAGATCCTTGGGTCTTAGTACTAAAGATTCTGAATCAGTAAAGTTGGAGAGCCATATGGTAATACAGCACTTAGTTTTTTCTAAAAGCATAGTTTTCATTAATAGGTTAGTGTTCATTGAGCTGTTTTTGGTTCTTCCTCTGCATTCACATGCATTGTTTTTATTTTTTTTTTAAGTTTTCTAAAAAAGATTTATTTTATTAGAGAAAGAGATCGTGCACACATACACAGCGGATGGTGCAGAGGGAGAGACCTCCATCTCGCGATTCTGAGATCATGACTTGAGCTGAAATCAGGAGTCAGATGCTTAACTGACTGAGCCACCGAGTGCCCCTTGTTTTCAGTGGGCCCCATGCCCAGTGTGGGGCTTGAACTCATGGCCCTGAAATCAAGACCTGAGCTGAGATCAAGAGTCAGATGCCCTTTTTTTTTTGTTTGGTTTGGTTTGGTTTGGTTTAAGATTCTATTTATTTATTTGACAGCTAGAGAGGGAACACAAGCAGGGGCAGTGGGAGAGGGAGAAGCAGGCTTCCCGCAAGCTGAAAGTGAGATGTGGGGCTTGATCCCAGGACAGTGGAATCATGACCTGAGCCTAAGGCAGACGCCTAATGACGGAGCCGCTCACTTTCATTGTGTTACCTATTTTTTCCTTTACTTGGGGATCGGCTAAGATTTATCTGCTCCCCTTTCTTTGGTTGCCACCTAGTGGTAACAGATAGGAACCATCAGAAGTTTTGCTGATGAACTGAATTCGTAGGAGGTGGACAGTGCCGTTCTAAAGAAGGAGGGGTGGAAACCAAAGATAAGTTTGGTTTGTGTTTGTGACTAACCAGATGCTCAAATGTGTATGCTTCCTATATGAATGCTTTTTACTCCCATGACTTGGAAATACAGTTTATTTGTATTTACTTGGGAAATTATTTGTAAGAAAATAATTTTCTTACAAATTATTATAACTTTGTAACAGGGCCTGTAACTTTTTTTTTTTTTTAAGATTCATTTATTTTAGAGAGAGAGTGATTTGGGCAGAGGTGAGGGGCAGAAGGAGAGGAATGAGAAACACAAGCAGACTCCCTACTGAGCGTTCGGCTTAGTCTTACCACCCTGAGGTCACAACCTGAACTGAAAGCAAGAGTCAGACACTCAAATAACTGCGCCACCCAGGTGCCCCTAGAGCCTGTAACATTTTAATCTTTGTCTAAACTGCCAACTCAATTATTTGTACTAGGAAATGGGCAGGTGTCTTCCTAGTTCTCTTATTTTTAAAAAGTTTTTTTTTTTTTTAAGATTTTGTTTATTGTCAGAGAGAGAGCAAGCACAAGCAGGCAGAGTGGCAGGCAGAGGCAGAGAGAGAAGCAGGCTTCCTGCCGAGCAAGGGGCCTGATGTGGGACTCGATCCCAGGATCATGGGACCATGATATGAGCCGAAGGCAGCGGCTTAACCATCTGAGCCACCCAGGTGTCCCTAAAGATTTTTTTTTATGTGTTCGACAGAGCAAGAGAGCACAAGCAGGGGGAGCAATAGAAGGAGAGGGAGAAGCAGGCTCCCCACCAAGCAGGGAGTCCTATGCAAGGCTTAATCCCAGGACCTTGGGATCATGACCTGAACCGGAGGCAGATGCTTAACCATGTGAGCCCACCAGGTGCCCCCCCTAATGCACCTTATTTAATGAGATAAATCTTTCCAAACCATACTGTGAATTACAGTTTTGAAGTATATGAAGTTTTGATTCCATACATATTTTATTATCGATTCTCTTGTTCTAGGCTTTTTGTTTTCTTTGACATGTTTTTTTAGTTTTTTACTCGTGTTTTAAAAGATTTCGTTTATTTGTTTGAGAGAAGGGGCAGGGGAAAAGAGGAGAGCCCCCAGTGCGGGACTCTATCACAGGATCATAACCTGAGTCAAAGGCAGGTGCCTAACTGAGTCACCTAGGCACCCCTACTCATATTAGTTTCAATGATTGTATTTTTGTTAAGATTCTTGACTTTTTATGCTAGCTTGACAGGGAAAAAAAGATGTATTGTGAAGGAATATTGTATAACAAAACTTACTCGTGTAAGATCTGATTTTACTTTTACCTTATAGAAATGGTGGAATCAATGAAGAAAGTAGCAGGGATGGATGTGGAGTTGACAGTTGAAGAAAGAAACCTCCTATCTGTTGCATATAAAAATGTGATTGGAGCTAGAAGAGCTTCCTGGAGAATAATCAGCAGCATTGAACAGAAAGAAGAAAACAAGGGAGGAGAAGACAAACTAAAAATGATTCGGGAATATCGGCAAATGGTAAGATTATCATATCCTGGGCATCTTTAAAGAAAGATGCTTTCTTGGCATCTGGTTTGGGATATTTTATTTTAAAGTTTTATTTATTTAATCTCTGCACCCAGTGTGGGGTTTGAACTCATGACCCCTAGATAGGAGTCACATGCTCTTTCTGACTAAGCCAGCCAAGTGCTCCAGGTTTTGGACATCTTTTTAAAGATTTATTTATTTATTTATTTATTTGAGAGTCAGAGTGCATGAGTCGGGTGAGGGGCAGAGAGGAAGGGAGAGGCTGGCTCACCACTGAGCAGGGACTGTGACATGGGACTCCATCCCAGGATCCTGGGATCATGACCTGAGCTGAAGGCAGATGCTTAACTGACTGAACCACCCAGCCACCCCGGTTTTGGACATTTTGGATCACAGCCTAATGCACATGTGTTGTGTACCTGTGTAATGACATTTTTCTATTTTAATGAATTTTCATTTCAACTTATCTGGATTATGGTAGGCCATACAATATTTCAGGAAAGAGGTGTGAAGAATTTTTCTCTGGAAGCTGTAGAGGGTGTTTAGTTTTCAACACCACACAAGTAGAGAACTATTTTCTTTTTAAGATTTTATTTATTTATTTGACAAAGATCATAAGTAGGCAGAGACAGGCGGGGAGGGGGGAGCAGTCTCCCTGCTGAGCAGAAACTCCATTTATTAATTATCTCTACCTCTTTTAGACACTGTTTTGAGTGGAGAGATATTTATTAGTACATGTAATTGTGCATGGTAGGGTATTTATTTAAATGACCCTGTAAAGACTAGATTATTGTTCTGCTTTATAGATGGGAAAACTAAAGTTCTGAGTGATTAACATACCTGGGGTCGCATAGAAGGATATCAATGTGTCCGTTAACCTCAGATATGTTGGAACAAGAATATGGATTGTAAGTAGAAAAGTTTGGTGTCTTCAGCAGGAATGGGATTTGGACTAAGTAGGAAAGGAAGCAGGAAGTAAAGAGAGGGACTGATAAATTGGGGCAAGATGAAAGATTCAAGTGGCTGGGTGTCTTAATGTGTCCCTAAGTAGGAATAACAGGAATAAAGGAAGTAAAAAGGAAGTTACAGTCCAGTGGTGAAATAATTTAAGACTTCTTGGATACAGCAACGCAGTTAGGGATATTGACAAAAAAGGTCATGTAGTTGAGGTCAAGGAACTCTGTTGAAAGGAACATGGGTGTGATACCTTGGTGTGATACTAGGAATTGGTGAGGTAGGCTGTGAATATGGATGAAAGGCATATAGAGATCCACTGATGACAGAGGCTTAGAAATTCGAATGTAGAGGATGAGCTTCCACGGGGGAGCCATTTGGAATAATAGCAGCCAGTCATAGTGGGGAGCTAGGAGAATTCAGAAGATGTCTTAGTCCTACAGTAATTGCCACTTGAAAAGCCACAGGGAGGTAGTTTATTCAGGAAAGAGCTAGTTTAACCTAGCACCAGAATGAGATTAGGAGAAGAGAGAGTGGGGGAATTCTTTACAATGGAAAGAAAGTTCCAGAGGGCGTAAGAAGAACTTGGAAAGGTTCAGCAGTGTTACTGTGTATTAATGGAAAATAGAGAACAAGATGTGTATGTGTCTTGGGTGGTGGTATGCGTTTTAAGTGTGATAAATTTTAGGTAAGTAGCAATATTTACTTGTAGTATACAGATTTTGGTGCCATAACTGCTGTGGATCTCAGCCACTAAAGTGAATGCCTATTGAACATAGTAGTGGTTAGGAATGTGAACATTGGAGGCAAACTGCCTGGGTTTGAATTTTTATTCCATCCCTTAAAAAATGTGACCTTAGGCTCTATAGCCTGTCTGGGTTCAAATCCTAGCTCTCCCTCTTGAAGGTCTTTAAATTGGTGATTTTTGGCCAAATACCATAATCTTTGTTTCCCCATGTACATGATAGTTTCTACCTTATATGCTAATTAATAGAAGTGTGCAGCTCTCAGTAAGTAGTAATTAGTGTTACTTTCAGGTCTGTAGCTGAATCATGAGGTTGTTGGTATGGGTTTTGTTTTGTTTTTAGGGTTTTAATTTTAAGTAGTAATCTCTACACTCAGCGTGAGGTCAAGAGTCAACATGCTCCACCAGCTGAGCCAGCCAGGCGCCCCGTATGGTGGTGGTGGTTGGTTGGTTGGTTGTTTTAAAGCACTAAACTAACCGCATGCAGAAGGAGGATAATTTCTATAGCCTGGAGACAACTATTCTCTGCTTTTTAAAATCAAGAGTGGGGAAGAAGGTTTGATAAAGAAATGTATTATGTTTACTATGACTCTCTTCCTAAAAACTAGAGGGAGAATATGTCATAGTTTATGCAGTTTCTTAGATTTAAACAATTTTTGACTTTTTTTTCAGGTTGAGACTGAGCTAAAGTTAATCTGTTGTGACATTCTGGATGTACTGGACAAACACCTCATTCCAGCAGCTAACACTGGCGAGTCCAAGGTTTTCTATTATAAAATGTAGGTTCTATACTAGAAGGGAAAATGTCAGATTAAATGTTGGCCCCCTTAGAATTACTACTTCTTCTGTGTTAGGTGTTCAGCTTTTATTTAAGAATAGTTGTTTAATGTTAGGAGGATAGTTACATGGGAGGGATGATTTTTAAAACTTAATTTTTGAGTGCTCATTTGCATATTCACTGCTAATGAACAATTATTGTTGCACTTAAGATGGTTAGACTGTTTAGTGTAAGAGTACTAGGTTTTATCTATTTGCTTTTTTTTTTTTTTTTTTTCCGTCAGAGAGGGAGGGAGTAGCAGAGAGAGCAGCAGGCAGAGCAGGCTCCTTGTTGAGCACGTTCCGAAGAGGGACTCAATCCCAGGACCCTGGGATCATGACCCAAGCTGAAGGCAGCCACTTAACCAACTGAGCCACCTAGGTGTCCCTGTTTATATTTGTTTTTTGTGTAGAGTTACCCGCCAGCTGTAGCAATGTATTACAGAGTTCAGTTTTACCATTTTATGTCGAAGTTTTATTTCAAAATTAAGAAACTGCCATGCCATTTTTTTTTGGAACCACTTTTTTGTGTTTAATTTTAGCCAGCGAAAAACATACTGATTTTTGAGGTTTTGCAGTTAATTTCGCTAGGTTTTTGCTTATATTTGGTATTCTGAACTCTGAGGAGGAAAACTGAATAGTCAGTCTTTGCTGAAAGAGACTTTGTGAAATTATTGAAGTATCCATGTTAATTATTAAATATATTTCTGTCACATTTCACATTACAGACTACAAAATTTTAAGTTTACTTTCATTTAAAAAGTATTTTTCCTAATTCTGTTTGTTTTATTTTGTTTTGTTTTAGGAAAGGGGACTACCACAGGTATCTGGCTGAATTTGCCACAGGAAATGACAGGAAGGAGGCTGCGGAGAACAGCCTAGTGGCTTATAAAGCTGCTAGTGATATTGCAATGACAGAACTTCCACCAACGCATCCAATTCGCTTAGGTCTTGCTCTCAACTTTTCCGTATTCTACTATGAAATTCTTAATTCCCCCGACCGTGCCTGCAGGTAAGTCATGGAAGAGAAACAAAAGCTCTCACTGTGAAAGTGAAAAAAGTTACAAAAGAGAATTGTCTTGTTTCCTGGGATTGCCTTTGCAGCGTTGGCCATGTAACAGAGAATTCTTTTAGCTCTTAATGAAACTGCTTTGGATGATTTTAAGACCAACCCTATCTCAGTTCACTAGGATAGCAGTTTTGGATTATGTTGACGGGGAAAACTTTTGTTGGTAGGTTGCATTTTAAACTTGTTTGTGTGAGAGTGGAATTACAATAGATTTTTTTTTTTAATATTAGCTTTTAGTCTTTGTAGGCATGTTCACATAGTTAGGCTCTTAGTGTACGTATTTTTATGTTTTCTATTTTAATATGAGCAGTTCTCCATCTTTGTATGTTGATTCCCCCATTTATATTTTAGGTTATTCCCAATTTTTTGATATAGATAGAAAATTTAAAGGATAGCTTTATGTACATAGCTTTTTACTTGAAAAAAAATTATTGTAAACTCTAACATGAGGTTTATCATTCTAACCCCTTCTAAAAAGGATTTATTATAGAATGAGTAAATGGGGGGACAGAGGGAGAGAATCTGGCAGACTCACTGCTGAGCGTAGAGCTAGACGTGGGACTTGATCCCAAGACCCTGATCATGACCTGAGCCGAAATAAAAAATCGGCTCAGTTGACAGAAATTGGCTTAACTGAGCCACCTAGGCACCCCTCATTCTAACCATTTTTAAGTTGTACAGTTGAATGGCATTGAATATACCCACAATATTGTGTAATTGCCACCACGAAGGTATTTCTAAAACTTTTTCATCACCTGAAACCAACTAACCACAACCCAGTAATTCTCTAGATTTCTCCACCCCTGCCCCCACTAATCTCTACTTTCTTTCTTTGTGAATTTACCTATTTTAGTTTCCTCATATAATTGGAATAATGTATGTAGTCTTCCTGAGTATATAGGAGCTAGATACTCCATGAAAGAGATTTTCCTGATATGAGGTGGATTCATTTGAATGCAAACCATTATTTATCTATCTAAAAACATTCTAAATTCCTAGTTGAGTTTGTCCAAAGAGGTACAGGTCTTAACTGAAGAAGTTATAGCTATCTGTTTAGCTAATAGTATTGATTGGATCTTTCATTGTCATTCTCCAGTGTAGCTCTCCATCACTTTGATTTAAGTCTTCTCCATGCCTTTGCTCTTAAGCATTTGCTTAACTTATTTTTTAAAGATTTTTATTTATTTATTTATTTGACAGGACATAAGCAGGGTGAGCAGTAGAGGGAGAGGGAGAAGCAGGGTCCTCACTGAGCAGGGAGCCCAATGGGGGGATCAATCCCAAGACCCTGGGATCCTGACCTGAGCCAAAGGGAGACGCTTTAACCAACTGAGCCATCCAGGCGCCCCTGTGAATTTAATTTTTAGCATTCCATTCATGCTCTTCTCCTTCCCTTTCAGATGAGTTCGTATTTGACTTCCTGATTTGCTCATTCTCTAGGGTTTCTTTTTTTCTTTTTCTTTTTTTTTAAGATTTTATTTACTTATTTGACAGAGAGATCACAAGTAGGCAGAGAGAAAGAGAGAGAGAGGAGGAAGCAGGCTCTCTGCCAAGCAGAGAGCCCGATGCAGGACTCGATCCCAGGACCCTGAGATCATGACCTGAGCCGAAGGCAGAGGCTTAACCCACTGAGCCACCCAGGCGCCCTCTCTAGGGTTTCTTAAGTACTTTGTCCAGAGTAGCACTTCATACTTGTTTTATAATAGTTTTGTGTATCAGTCAGTCCTCTATTCCTAGATGTTCATTGTGGACTGAGAGTGTTTCTTTCCTTTCTTCTGTTTCTCCTTAGTGTCCTGCATCACTTGGTGTACATCATGCACCATACATAGTAAATGTTGATTTTGTTTCTTTTAAATTCTAGTAAAATGGCTTATATACCTCATTTCTGTGGGTTCTATACCCTCCCCCCTTTTTTTTTGCTTCTGTTAGCATTAAAGTCTTTGGAATTAAACTGAGCTGTTCAACATTTCATCTTTTTACCTTAAAATTTTATTAAATAAGTGAGCTGTTGACTAGAACTTGGTAATACTTTTATTATGCATATATTTTGGTGGTGGTTCAGGATAGAATTTGGTCTGTGTATTGTTTACTGATAGGCTTGTCAAAAGCCTGGTAAGAAATGGTGCTCTAGGGTGCTTGGCTGGGTCAGTTGCTAGAGTGTACAACTCTTGATCTTGGAGGTCATGAGTTTGAGCTCCACATTGGGAGTGGGGTTTTTTTTTGTTTTTGTTTTTTTGTTTTTTTTTTTTGTTTTTCTTTAAAAAGTAGTAGTAGTGGTGCTCCAA